TGATAACCAATGTCAAATATATTTCTCAGTGTTTTCAATTTCTATACGTACCATACATAATTATCTAACAACTAATTACTACTTTTTGAATATTTTCTTAATAAAGTTATTAGGACTAAAATTAATTATTTATTTATCGGACACTGATTTTAATATTTATAATTTCAATCCCAAGAGCATCAAAAATTTTACTGGACTAACCACAAATCTTCACATTAACACTAAAATTCAATCCCGTAAACACTTCAATTACTTTTAATTATAATATTTATGTTATGAACGCTCGTTGCACACTATAGCACATGATCACATCAGCCAATCAATCGAAGACGACATCGCGCGTGTGTACACATCGGACGGGAGTGTGCGGCGTATACGCGTTCGAAGCACCGCGTACGCAAGAGGTCGGAACGCGCGCGCGCGTCTCGCCGCGATCCAGCTAATGACCGGCGTGGCGCGTATTCGCGACCCCCACTCCGCCGCCGTACGCGCGCTATCAAACCAGTTTACGTGAAAAATTTTAATTCCTCAGTGCGGGTGACGACCGGTCGCGCTTTCCTCGCACGGCGCGGCCTCCCCCGTCCATGAGGAAAAAGCGCAGCGCCCCCGGGGGCGAACCGGAAGTGCACCGCGGCCGGCACGCGAGCCAAGCGCACCCACCGCCTTAATTAAATGCTGCACGCTGCACACCTACCCCTTCATAGCGTCCTACCCTTATGCACCAACTACCATTTCTATTACCAACACAAATTACTATTTTATTTAAATTAACAGTAACAACTCCGCAAGTAGTAACAAATTTAGATATTTATATTTAGAATAATATAGAAAAATCAGATATTGTCTAATTATAAGCAATGTTTAATAATCAGTATTTAGAGTAGCGGTAATGATTTGCAGTGAAAATTAACTCAGTCACGAGTGAATAACCGCTCTACAGACGCGGTGTTATGATGAACATCGATCTAGATACTTTCACGCACCTACCGCACGTCACATTAACGCACATATAATTATGTAGTATGCAGGTATCGCATCAACAAAGTAAATTAATGTTCATTTGTGCAAATGCTGAAAGTAAACTTAAAGTTCTTATGACCAATTTAGCGATAGAGCAATTTTTCACTACCGATAAAACTGCGCAAAGAATTAGACAAAAAGGCGTTAATCTTAAACAAATATACCATAATCTTCAATTTAACAATGGTCTTATTTACTGCTGGAACTTACCGAATAATGATCGAGTTAAAGTTTAAATACAATTATCCCAAACAAATACAACATCGAAGAAAGCCAGATGCTATTAAAATTATTCAAATACAAAGATCACATTACACAACTGTCTCGACGCAAATACCATAAAAGGGGATACATTGGCCAGGCAACTGGCACTTTCTCACAAATAGAACGAACTTATGTGGTAACAAAGAATAATAAAATGTGAAGAAAAAACTGGACCAGATTAAGGCGTCACAAAGAGTTTCTTTTCATATGAACAGTAATTCACCCATACATTAAAAGTCCCCTAACAAAACTTGCGAACCCCTCAACACATAAACAAGTTAAACAGTTACAAAGAGCTTTGGAAATACTGTTATAGAAAAGACGGAGTTATAATATGTATTAATAATCCGATTTGGAAAGGAATCATCTTCGTGTACAATCTTAATTCATTGTCATTAGCGTTTGAAATATTGACTCCACAGATGTCGCACGTACCAATACGAATGTGTAAAAGATTGTAAAATTATAAACTACGATACTCGTATTTAGTTCGTCATTTGGAAAACGCTTCAGGTAATAGAAGTTACAAATACCAAGTAGGTCTTAACCTACTTTACAAAATATTAACTGAAATGGATTTGCGTGTCTGTTACATGAATGCACAGATTGCACAACGCAGTTTCAATTAGGTTAAGTAAAACGAATCTTTTTGGTCATTTCACATACATAATATGTTGTATACTGAAGCCTATGTCCCATGGAGGTAGGCACGAGATATGGAGCGGTACCTAGTGCAATACTTTATCTTACATCACATTGCATCTGGCCATACAAGCACGCCGCCGGTATGTCCTTAACCTAGCTTTTTTCGAGAATGTGGTGTGTTCTTTTAAAACAAATTACGAAACTCGTCTATTTATTTAAAATTTCTGGATTAAGAATTTAGGGTATAGCAAACCTGCATAAAATACAGTTCCTAGGAATTAATTTTGCCCTGTGGTTCACCTAGGGGTTAAGCAAATTTTTTGTACTCCAATCGACCTCGTCAGGGTGTCAATGATCATCATTATCATTCGGAATAGGTCTACTATTGAACTATAGCCTCCCTTCTGTGAAGAGGTGGCCGGTCATCTTCCTGACAGCGCGTAACACAACGCAAGTGTTCACGCCGTTTTCCTGTGAGGTTGTGGTATCACTCAGACTAAGAACTTCAGTTGTAGCTTGAAACTAATCGAGAGTAAGCCGTAGAGCATTATTAAATAGTATGTCTCACGAGATTGTAATACAAAAATAGATTAAATAATATAATAGCATTGTGATTTTTTGTGATAGAATAATTGTCATGACACGGAAAATAACACTTCTCACTATTCACATAAAAACTATCATAGTATAGTCTAAAAATAGTCTTCGTAATGTTTTTTAATACCACATTAGTTCACTGCGGAGAAGTGGAGACGGATATATGTTCATTTTTGTTATAGAATGCGCCCATGCGTCTGATTTCCATTGATTACTCGATCCGAATAGTGCCGTGAGGTGGTTCTATAAGAGACGACTAAGGGACTGCACATATAACGGATAGAGAGTGAGCGCCCTAGACAAGCACACCATAGGCGTCCCTCTGTGTCGCGGAGAACCTAACGGGTAACTGGGGCTCCGGCTCGACGTGCAGGAGAAGGAACGGGGTGGTTTTAAGTCAGTAAGAGTCTGATACTCGATCCCGCCTCACCAATGCGGGAGCAGTCATTCGATGATTTTAAAAAAATAAAAAGGCGTCCCTCTGTAACCTGACGCTCTAAGCACTTTCCAGTTTGCCTTAAGGATAATTTCGCTAAGGATAATACATTTCTGGAACAAGCTTGATCTCCAACCCCAATAAGAATAAAATCAAAACACTTGTCACATACAACACCATAAAAACTACCAGAGTACTTAGTACATGATTTACTGACACTGAAATATTAGAAGAACATTAATAAAATAACAATGTTACAATAAATTATGAATACTAGTTTCAACTTTTCTCAGGTCAGAATAACTAGTATCCTCAATTTAAATCAGTTTATTTGTATCATAGGTACATTCGAGCCAGCCCACACTTGAATGTAACAAATGTGATTGTGAAGCCTCCTATACATATGCTATAAATATTGGCTAAAAGACATGACAAAGACAACCTAACATTTAAGTATGGGAGAGCCATGCTTCGGCACGAATGGGCCGGCTCGACCGGAGTGATACCACGGCCTCACAGAAAACCGACGTGAAGCAATGCTTGCGTTGTGTTTCGTAGTGTGAGTGAGGTTACCGGAGGCCCAATTACCCTCCCTTTCCCCAATCTCCCCAATCCCTGAGTCTCCAACGATCCTGAAACTCCTAATCCCCAAAAGGCCGGTAACGCACTTGTAACGCCTCTGGTGTTCTAGATGTCCATGGGCGACGCCGATTGCTTACCATCAAGTGATCCGTCGGCGCGTTTACCTGCTTATGCCATAAAAAAAAAAATCAATAGAACAACATCAACAACCTTGACAATCCAGTTGCTGAACTATTGATATACCATTATACTATGAGAGGATTTGCCGTAATCTAAGTTTGAAAGACTGGCTGGAGATTGCAGTTAAAAAAGTTTAGGTTTATCAGAGAATCAGAGAGTTGGCGCTGCGCTACCCCCATGGGAGACAGGCATGAAGTTATGTATGTATTTATGTGTCAGAGAGCATGGCTTTCGGTCTCTAACAAACATAATATATGCTCTCATGACAGCTGCAGAAAGAGTAGTGATAGTAATCAATATAGGTATTGTTCCCATATTTTACAGATGATTCTGTGGTCTGTCAAATGTTTTTATTATAATAGAAAGTCAGTTTTATGGATCATAATAGGACTGTTTTCAGTCTTACAAGTGAAATAAGTGCCAAAGTGATTTGAATAATTGTGTGATCTGAGAATAGAGAGGCAAAATTATTGCACATCCTGAGAAGAGAAATAATAAAATTAATTAAACTATAAAAGGTAATTTGTGAACAGTGATGTTGAGTTGTTTTATTTAATACAATATATTATGACAATCCTTAAGAAACAAAATAAACTCAGCTCATTTATAAAAAATAAGTATTGAGATACATTCCTAAGATACTTATTTATTATGTCAATGACATATTCTAGAATGGAATAACTTGAAGTTTGGGACAATTTACCTAACATTCCAGCTGAGTGAAATAAGTTTATTAAACTGTCGAATACCAAGCGGTCACCGGTGACCGCAACCTATTGTTCTTTAATTGTGTCTATAAACACGGTACTCGACAAGTTAAAACGAAAATAAAGGTATAATTATGCCATAAACTCCCATGATTTTATGTAAAAATCTATTTAGATTTAGCAATGTCTCCCAGTAGACAATATACCCTGTGAATACAACATACAACCATCATATTATGATGTATTCCAATAGGCAATCATAGATTGTCACCAATAGTAGCCATTCCCTTCAACTTTTGTCTTAGAACCAACAAGATTTTCCTACAGAACACACTTCACTTGGAACCAAAATACTAGTTAGGTAGTGACAAAATAATTACCACTACTATTGCAACATACAAAACTACATTCCATTATTATTTTCAATGAAATATGTTACCACAATTTGTTTCTATACAAATCAAAGCTATCTAGGTTTAGTTTACAGATCAAATTCTTGCAGATACAAGAACTAGATTGATCTAAGTATTTCTTTTGTAATATGAATGAAAAGCTTATGCTAAACTTACCTTAGTTCTTGGTCGCCCCCTTCCTCTCTTCATGTCATGTGTAGATTCATCACTTTTAGTTTTTCTTATATTACTTATGCTCTTGGAGGCACATTGTTTATCTTTGTTTACCTTCGTCCCACTATCCTTGATGTCACACAGTTTTCTGCCATCTTCAATATCATTCTTGTTAGTACTTTTCAGCTTTGTAGGCGTTTTAGCTGAACATTTTGATGGTAATGATTTTGAAACTGCTTTAAGCGGCAAATCATCATCGCTTGATGAATCCGATGAGCATTTACTACATGATTCAGAGCTCGAAGTAGTATCAGAAAGTTGAGATTTCTTTTTCACTGGTGTTCTATCCTTGCTTTGACTTTTATTATTAGTTAATTTCTTTTTCACTGATGGTTTACTGGTCCTTTTTGGTGATACTTTTCTGGGTGGTATAGCAGCAATCTTTAATTTCAAACCAGTGTCACAGGAAGTTACTGAGAAGTGTGCCTTACGTGAAGCACTTTGTTTAGCATCGGAACATTCCCATTCACTTCTTGATGACTCACTGGAGCTGCTATTCTGTAATAAAAGAAACAAAATTATTGTATAAAAAGAAACAGTTAAGAATAATAAAACTGTAATTATGGTTTTGAAATGACATTAGCAAGCTCAGAAAATGAAAAGTGGAACATCAATAGCTCTTTCCAATTAAAATCTCTTTTAAGTGTGACCAATGAAAACATTCATAGGAGAATGACATAATATTGCTAAAGTTGTATTTAAGCATGGAATAAAGAAACATTTGCAAGAAGTATAATAAAATAACAAACCTCAGAATCACTATTTGAGTCTGAATCACCACTTGAATCATGAGTTTTTGGCAACTCAGTGCCCATTTCTGAAAAATATAAAATCAATGCATTTTACATAATTTTAATACTACAGGGACAAATAAAATATTATCTCCATGTAACCATGAACTTGTTAAATAACAAAAACATTGCAAAACAAAAATGTTCAGACTTTAGGTGGATGACATTACAACACAACATAGTGATAATCTTATCAGCATAATAACTACAAAGATGAAACTAATGGAAATCATGCAAGACAATATTCAAATAAACTATAATTGAAATGGATATTAGCTGGAATAGCTGGTAATGACGCTATAATACTGGCTACAAATGGTTAGGGTACTCACTTCAAGGTTGGTCAAGATGTTTCCAAATACAACAGTGTGATTGTCTTCATTTCAGTCGCAAATTATCCATAATATTATAATTGTCTGAAATAAGATACCAAAATCAATCACAGCAGCAATCTCAAAGCGTTATTTTGAGAAATATTTCCACTCGACATAATTTGTTGAAATGACAGATCTGACGACACTCGTAAGACCAGTTTATTCACGATGAAACTTGGTTGTGTTGTACAACGCGGACTAGAAGTATCACTAAAAAACTACGATGTTACATAAAAACCAATTTATTTTCGTTAGATAAATCATAATAAGTGAGTATAACGGTCTTTTAGTCCATTGGCGCCAAATAAGTGCATACGTTTACATTCATATGTGGAAATATAATGCCGATTGTTAATGTATTGCACTATATTATTATGACATAAAAGCCAAAATAAACTTCTTGTCATACTAACCACATCCGAAAACTTCGTAATAGAAATAATACACGGCAAAACGACGAAATTACTTCACACTAGCATAACACTTGGCCTCCATGTTTACAAATCATTCATATAAAAATGTACATACCTATGTAACTCAAGAGAAAGTCAGTGAATTTTGCATCTTATTCTTTTACTCATATGAAAGTTACGTATGAAAGAATGAGACTTATTACTATTATATCTATATGAAATGCGGCGCAAAATGGCGTCCTAAGATCAAGAAACGCTTTCAAATTAATTTCTTTTAGATTATATTTACTAACGACACACTAATTTGAGATAAACAGGAGTGTAACTTTTTACCGCTATCATGTTTTTTTAATTACGGAAGCTATAAATAAATAAAAGCAAATTTGAGCCAAATTATAGCTAATATAACGGTGTTAGTAACTCCATCTTTTGAGATAAATTTTAAACTTTTCCATAATTTGTCAAAACTTACTAAATACTGAGTAAAATCACAAATAATACAATACTATAAAGAAACCATGAAAATTATCATTCTGTAAACAAAAGTTATATTAATACAGGTACAAATAAATAAAATTAATAATACATATCCCGTAAGAATAGTGTTATGTTATAGGCGATTTATGATTTCTACTTGGCACAGTGGGTAGTTGAGATGGAATATACCTATCATTCAGATTAATACTGAATGAATACTGTACTGGGTATTTAATAACTATTTTTATCCATAAAATCACCCATTTATACTCAGTCAACAAAAGTAAACTCAAAAGTTTCAAAACTGCTGGCTACCATTGCCAGTTTCAATTTTTTTCATCTTGCTACCATTACATTTCATATTATCCATGTCAAATTGTCAGTTGTCAAATTGTTAATATTTTGCAATTTTGTCAACATTTACTTGTCATTTCGAAATACAAGATACTACAAGGAATACGAGGATGAAAAAAATAAATTTATTTCCATTACATGTTTTCTTTATTAAATTCTCTTGATAATGATAAAAGAGACAGAAATTTCCAAACAACAGAAATCTGTTTCTGAATAAACATCCAGAGGTTAGGCTGTTTTCATTCTTGCAAGTGATTTGAATAATTGTGTGATCTGAGAATACAGAGGCAGAATTATTGCATATCCTGAGAAGAATAAAAATAATAAAATTAATTTGACTATAAAAGGTAATTGGTGAACAGTGATATAGAGTTTGTTCATTTAATAAAATATGATGACAACCCGAAACAAAATAACCTCAGCTCTGTATTTTTGCCTAACTTAATATTCATAAAAAGTAAGTATTGAGCTACATTACTAAGATACTAATTTATTATTTCAATGACACATTTTTTGTAGAATGGAAGAACTTGAAGCATGGGACGATTTATCTAACATTCCGGCTGACCCTCCAGTCATGCGCAAACTATGTGCGGACTGCAGGTAACATAACTTTTTGGTGTTGAATTATATAGCTCTATAGACTACAAAGTTCCTTTGTATTATTTTGTTTCACCATTTACGCAAATATAATGTTAAAAAGTATATTTTTATCTACAAACTTATATTTCAGTTTTTTTTTTCCAGGAGACCAGCAGTAGTTTGTTGGTGTTCAGCATTACCACCGGAAAAGTTGAATCCTCGCAGCACTGTCATATTGTTACAGCATCCTGCTGAAGAAAAAAGATGTTTAAGAACAGCTCCCATGTTGCAACTAGGTTTAGCATCTAATAAGTGCCTTATATTCAAAGGAAAAAAGTTCCCTCAACCCAGGCATAAAGACTTGGAAATTTTGCTCACACAGCCAAATACACTTTTGTTGTATCCTAGCAAAACTGCCATAGACATAAGAGACATGGAGAATGATACTGATAGTTACAATTTAGTACTAATAGATGGCACTTGGCCTCAAGCTAAGGCCATATATGCATCCAGCCCAATACTGCACAACATTAAACAAGTTAAATTATTGACTAGCAATACTAGCAGTTATATTATAAGGACACAACCAACAGAAGGATGTCTGAGTACACTGGAGACTGCTGCAGAAGCCTTATCACAATTGGAACGGGACCCAAAATATACTGAACTCTTAATACAACCCTTACACACTTTGTGTAAATATCAATTAGAAAATGGAGCAGTAACACACCAATCTAAAGAGTTTCTTATTAAAACCAGGACATATCCCAAATTGATTGGTAAACGGTTATCTAAGTTACTTAGATCCACACAAGAAGAATTGCCTGATCAAACATAATTTGTATATTTAAAAATAAATAATATATGTTACGAAAATACTAATGTTGTTTTTTTAACTAGTATTATTCAGGCACTAGTTACTCCTGCGCGATTTCATTCGCTGCTCGGCACCTAAGAATCGTGGCGTGACGTTTTACGGTCTATAACTTCCCTTGATAGAATAAATGGACTATCCAACATAAAAATAATTATTTACTTCGAACCAGTAGTTCTGGAGATAATTATAGTAACAAGGTGTAGTAACTTTTGATTTTAATTACTGACAGAAAATTGTTGAGGGCAAATCCGGAAAAAAATATCGGTCATCGGTGGGAGCTATCGTGAAAATTCAGACTTCGTGCTTTTAATGAGCTTAGTGTACATTAGTGGATTGAGAATAAAGAGATCCCGTCTTTGATCTTGATTCTCTTTTTTGAGCAGTTATATTCTGGTTAGTAAGTTTCCTTTAATTCGAGTATATTTTAATTAGCCTACAGCGGAACACAAAGCCCCGCCGTACGGCATACAAAGGGTGTGGGTCTGGTCGGGCGGTGCGGTGAGCTGCCCTTGCTCGCCGTTAGCAGAGCCGTACTTACGGTGGTAGGCAAAGACTATTGTGGTTGGAATCGCAGGGGCGTAAAGTTCACGCTCCGAGTCCTCCTTTTATCATGACTGCTTCATAGAAGGAGGAAATCCCTGTATATAATTCCTGTAAAATGTTTTTTTCAACGTCCTTGCTTTTATCAAGGTACAAAAAGCCGAGGTGCCAAATAATAGACAATATTAGGGTGTTGCTAACTTTTGATATTTGGATGGAATAATTTAAGTTAAATATTTTACACTGGCAACACAATTATTCCGCTGTCATTTTGACGCGATTTCATTTTTCCTTCCTTTTCTGTCGGTTCTGTCAAACAAATCGGAAACATGGCTGAGGTTTGTAAATTATTTTAGCATTATTATCCACATTTATTTTATGAATCATGGAAGAAAACTAAATTATTGTGATAGTGCTATCTATTAGTGTTATTGAAGAATAGTGTCCAAGTGCTATTTTTTCGAAGTGAGTTACAATGTTTACGTTTTACAGGTCGATGAAACTCTTAAGAAGAAACGTACCTTCAGGAAGTTTACCTTCCGAGGTGTTGATCTCGACCAGCTTCTTGATATGCCCAAGTAAGTATTCGCCTACTTTAATTGGTTAAAAATTTATCACCAAAACATGGTACATTTATAGGTTTGACACCTATCGGGTGATCTGTCAGACAATAAACTTACGAATCTTGATTACAATGACTATGTTTTCCGTTACGTATTATTAAGCCCAAAAACACTATATTTGGTGTCGTGGTATTTTAGTTGTGGGTATGTATATGGTCTGGTGTTAACGATTGCTAACATAACCTCAAAATATAACTTCCAGTGAGCAACTCATGGAGCTCATGCACGCCCGCGCTCGCAGGCGATTCGCCCGTGGTCTGAAGCGCAAGCCAATGGCCCTGGTGAAGAAACTGCGTCGCGCTAAGAAGGAGGCCCCGCCAAATGAGAAACCTGAAATTGTGAAGACACATTTGAGGAACATGATCATCGTCCCCGAGATGGTAGGATCCATTGTCGGTATCTACAACGGCAAGACTTTTAACCAGGTAAGTTTACTTCATGTAACATTGTACTGCAACTTTCAATCTTTGTTATTTTTCGTGTTGTTAACCAAAACATAGGAGCCTAACATTTGGGAACTGTAAACTAAACAAATCTATGACCGATATAATAGTTACTATCCCAAATTGAACAAAAAAAAACATGTTTATTTGCGTACAAGACCACCTTCAGACATGTTAAATCATGAAAACAACAACTATAGCAAAACAACAACTTGTTTTCATGTTTCAGTACTTTAGTTTGTGAATAAAGAATTAAATTACATAACAAAAAATAAGGTCTAAACTTTCTTAGTGAGTTCATTGTTCTGTTTACACTTTTGCAGTACCTAAATATTAAAATTACACCATCTTAACTCGTCGAGTACCGGTTTTATAGACACAATTAAAGAACAATAGGTCGCGGTCACCGGTGACCGCTTGGTGCTTGACAGTTTAAATTTGATGTGAATTCAGCCAGTGCTAGATTAACCATGTAGCGATTTGCATTTATGGAATGAAATGAATTAATGAAACTTATCAGGACACCCCAATTAACAAGTTTCATGTCTCTACTGCCCATGTGCTAGCTCATGTTATAAAACTAACTAGCAAAAGTGAATAAAAAACTGATACATATTCATGTTTCTGTTTATTAATTTTCAATGTTTTGTTTCCAGGTTGAAATCAAACCTGAGATGATTGGCCACTACCTCGGCGAGTTCTCAGTCACATACAAGCCTGTAAAGCACGGTAGGCCCGGTATTGGTGCCACCCACAGCTCCAGGTTCATCCCACTCAAGTAGTGTGCTGACCATCACCTAGGCTTAAGTCTAAAACTAAAATGTGCACAGGAGTACAATAAATGTATCTTGTGTGGCAATTACTGTTTTTTATTACAATCATCATCACATCAATTATTACAATCTCAGTAGTAGCACGGAGTCTGGAACTGTGCCCGGTATATGGCAATAGGCTCACCCCCTATTACATGGGACTCGTAACATAAATAGTGAAAAGTGGGTGTTAATTGTACAGTGGTATAATGTGCACCTCTGCCTACCCCTTCGAGGATAAAAGGCGTGATGTTATGTTATGTTATTACAATCATGATGAACATCAGATGACATGTGACTAACAACCAGTGCTAATAACTCTCCATTCCAATTTATTTTTGATTTCAGTTTGTTTGTTCTTTTGGTTTTTATTTTTAGTAAATGAAGATGAGTTACTTAACTGTGCTGTTACTCATACATTATTTGTTATTCTTTTTTTTAGTCTCCTTGTAGCGAATATCAACTTTTTGCTACCAATGTAGTTTAGTAAAGAAATTCAGTTGTTATTGTTTCATAGTGACTGTTATTGTTAGTGTCCTTGGTATGTGCAGTAGGAAAAGGATCCATTGACTGCACCCTATCAATCTAGTCTGTCAACCCACATAACAAGCATATAAATAGGATGATGGATGGATGGAGCTAGGATGCCCGAAGCTTCTATAGGTTATTTATTAGGCAATCTCATGGTAAAACAATGCATCGGTTTCTTGTGGCCATGATCCATTGACAAACCGTAACAATACCTTGTGTGTTCATAAGTTTTGAGACAAACTTTTTGCTTATAAAAATAAAATAAAAATTACTGGCTGCTGTATATTTCTTTTTCTAATTTTGAATTTGGAATGTTAACTTTAAATATCTATGATTTCGGATTATTTTATTTAAATTTTCTCGTAATGGAGGGAACAAAAGTATTACGTGCGACCGTCATTTCATTATTTAAGGTGGGAAGAATGAAGAAAACCTATGGACATTTTCCGAGAACTGAAAAGTTTTGGTGTGAGCCGTAACTTCGTGTATTACACTATTAAACGATACCAGGAGACAAGTTCTTTACATGATCGGCAAAGAAGTGGTCGTCCACGCTCTGTGAGGACGCCTGCGAACATTAAAATCATCCGAGAGCGACTTCGCCGAAATCCATGTCGCACTCAGAAGAAACTCGCTCTGCAGACCAATATTTCGCGCGTTTCAGTCAACAGAATACTGAAATATGATCTCAAGGTTAAGGCGTATAGCCGTAGAAAAGTACACTTTTTAAACGATCGCCTTCGTCAATTGCGACGCGAACGTTGTCCAATACTGCTTAGGAGACACGATGCGAGGAAGATACTCTTCACCGACGAGAAAATCTTTACCGTCGAAGAAAAGTTCAATCGACAAAACAAAGTGTATGCCAAAAATAGCAAGGATGTCCCACCTTCAGCACGGAATGTCTCGCGTACTCATCATCCGGCTAGTGTCATGGTATGGTGGGGAGTTTCGTACGAAGGTGTCACTCAGCTTCATTTCTGCCAACAAGGCGTCAAGGTGAAAGCCAAAAATTATCAAAGTGACATTCTAGAGACTGTTGTGAAACCCCTGTATAATACCCTATTCCATAACAAGTATTGGGTTTTCCAGCAAGACTCGGCGCCATCCCATAAGGCTAAAACCACCCAAGCGTGGCTGAAGGAAAATGTGCCGTGCCGGCCTTCATTGCGGCGAACGAATGGCCCTCCTCCAGCCCCGACCTCAACCCGCTGGATTATTCTCTATGGACCGAATTAGAGCTCGGAGCCTGCCGAAAGTCCCACCCAAACTTGGAGTCACTTAAGCGAGCTCTTGTCCGAAAAGCGAAGCGAATTCCTCTGGAAAAGATTCGTGCCGCCATTGATGACTGGCCAAATCGTCTAAGGGCATGTATTAAAAACAGGGGTGGTCATTTTGAATAATAATTATATTTAATTTTTACTTACTATCTACTTAATCTTTGTTATTGTTTTTATAAATATAAGTTTATTATTTAAAAAGATATGCAACTTTTAATTTGTCTCAAAACTTATGAACACACGAGGTATTATTGATGATGTGGTGGTCCGGAGGTTTAAGGCGTCAGCTTCTCATGCATGAGGGTGCGGCGTGACTCTTTCAGAGTTGTATGTACCTTCTAAGATTATTTAGAAACCACTGACAAATGGTGAACGAAAATATCGTGAGGAAAACTGGGCTTATAATTTCTATTTGTAAGTTTAATATCGCCAATCGGCATTGAGCAAGCGTGGTGATTATTGCTGAAACCTTCTCCGTGTGAAAAGAGGCCTTTGCTCAGCAGTGGGCATTTATATTCTGTTGATGATGATAATATTATTCAGATCATGCCGGCCAGCCCATTCATGTTAAAGCATAGCTCTCCCACGTGAATGCCATACAATTGTAACTAAATACTGGTTTCACAGCTAATATAGCCAATCTAGGTAATGTTGTATAATTATCCATATCTGGCGAATCGTCAAACGTCCACCGCTGAACAAACGTCTCCTTCTTACGTCCTCCACGCCGAA